GTTGTCAATAAATAATGTCAACAAATCATTGTCATACTAAATATGATTTAGGCGTCATTTTTATGCAGGTTTGATTGGATAATGACGCTATCGGCACAAGAATGTCGGGGTGATATATAGTTGTTGTATGTTTGATTTGATGAGCTTAGAATGCTAAAATTTCAGTACAGATGAAACCAAGAGGTCGGTGGTGCTGATGTAAAGAAAAAATTTTAAAGAGGAAATTCATTTTGATTTGTTTGTGTTGAACTGAGATATGTCCTTTCTAATTTTTTTTTTTAAAGAAACGAAAAGAAAAACCATGCTTGGTTTTTAAAGTTTAGATTTGTGCAATCATTCAAAACAGAGAATGTGGTGTGATATCTTATGAATTGGCATAGATGGATGTTTAAGTTAATACCTTGCATTATTTTCCTCATTCAAATCATTAATTCCCTCATCACATTTCTTCCTCATTTTTGGACTCAACTTGTAAGCTTTTAGTTATATATTTTCCTCACTCAAAACATCTTCACTATAATTATCAAAAAAAAAAAAGAATAAATAGATAAAAATAAAAAACAAATAAACAAATCTAAAAATGAAAAAGGAAAATCAAATACAAATATAAGACCATTAAAAATAACTCTTATTAAAAAAACTAAACAATTAATAGACCAAAAGGAAACCAATCGGTTCATATATAGATCACTGTTCATAGATTATTGCATGCAAACCATGCAAAAACACATAGCACTTCAATGTTCAAACTTTACAACTCAAGATCAAAAGCAAACTAAACAATTCTAATGTCCGTGAAAGTTGTATGATCTTGAACGCAAACAAAACAAACACATCATTGAATGCACTTCATTGATCAAGGTCTTCCACCCAATTCCTTCTCCTTTTCGGGCTTCAATGAGACAAAAATCTGTCTATCCTCCAGAGAATTCTTGAATGCAGCAATAGCTTTTCTTGCAGTAGAATAAGAAATGCCTTCCATGATTTGCAAAATATCGTATGCACCCCGGAATAGAAAAGTAATAATCAGATGAAATAGCAGTACCAGCAGCCCTACATCTATCAGCTAGGGCTTTATAAAACCTTTCCTTTGCAGCTAATTAAGGTATAGATCATGCATTCCATGAACTTGTCCATCATAACTTCCTTGGAAACCTTGTAAACCTTGTTAGAACGGCTTCCAGATGTAGTTGATGAACAAGAACAAAGCCTTTTACCCCCCTCAAATTCAGTTTCACCTACTGACTCCCCAGCTTCCAAGCTAATTTCCTCATGTAGAGAAATCACAAATTCAAATTCACCTACTGATTCCTCAGGTTCCAAGCTAATTTCCTCGTCTAGAGAACCTGGATCTTCAAGTTTATCAGTCATCTTCAATAGTACACAATGCTTGCCCCAATGCTAAAGCTTTCTTAGTTTTCCTGCATAAAATAGAAAGTTAGAAACATGGATCAAACAGAAGAAAAGATGGAAAACACACCCAACCAATTCTTGCACTTAAGAGGGTAATTAAATTTCAAAACATAGCCATACATTCTGGGGAACAAAGACACTGGTAGTTTTTTCTTCTTCTTTTTTTTTTTTTTTGAACAGTACTTGAAATATGACACTGGTATTTAAATTTCAAAAAAGCTGCCGAAAAATATTTAGGGTTTTCTTTTGGCCATAAGAAGGGGAAAAATGATGATTTTTTTTTTTTAACAATCAAAATTATATTAGAGTATTAATATCTGTTTAAAAGAGAGGGAAGAATGTCGAGTATTGGACTCGACCTAGAAAACAAGGTGTCCCCACTTTACTTATCAAATGAGGAGCGTGGCCACTGGCCACGTAGTAGTGAGCGGAGAAACGATGATTTTTGGGATGGAAACAAGTTGACTAATTCGGTCAACAGAGCTTAGACCTTCTCGATTAAGTTGGGCCGGTGCTGGATTGGGTTCTGCTTGAATAAATGGCAGGTGGTCTCAATATTGGGGTTCGGGTTGGATTTGTGGATTTATTTTGATGAATTCACCCTCAAACTTTTAATTTCTTGGCCCCGTGTCCGTTCTTGAATTTCCTTTCTTCAATTTCTTCACAAAACTTTTCTCTTTTGCACATAGAGTCTGAAACAAAAATAAAATATATTAGTTAAAGAAAGAGGAAAATTCATATTTTTTTTTACATTTTTTTTTGCATTTTATTTTTTTTTGTGATTTTCTTGATTAATTTTAAATTTTTATATTTTTACATAAAAGTCTAAATAAATCAAGTGAAAAATCAAGTTATGATAGTATGCTTATTTT